GGGATGATGATGATGATGATGATGATAGGAAGGGTAGATGATAAGAGCTGGTCTTGCTGTGTGGAGAGTCGACGGCTTTGAGAGGGGGTATGTTTGCTTCTTCTTGTGAGTTGGGGGGAGGGGGGGGTAGGTGTCCTCCGACGAGCTTTGTGGGAGGGATGAGGAGGGAGTAGTCGGCTTTGTACTTCCTGTTTGTGTGCGATGCGATGTTAGAATAAGAGTGTTGTGGAGTTCCACAAAAAAAAAAGGAAATGAAATGAAACGGCAGGTTGTGGATCACTGACTTCTGCTTGGTGAGCATCTGTAATGATCCGATGAGGTTCGCTTTGGAGTCGCTGTCACCCTCATCTTCGTCGGCTGAAGGTTCCTCTTCATCAGTGAAGTCCAATGAGTAACGCGGATGCGTCCATTGATACACGTGGAGCTCCTCCAGGGAATGCCTCGAATCGAACAACCCTCTCCCTATTTTGGAAACCGGGAACGTTATGGTCTTGTGCTGATATTGGAAGCGTTTCAGGGCACGAAAGCTCTGCAGGAATTTTACAGGCGAGAGACCTCTGAGAAAACCTTGAGTGAGTGTCAGGTCGGTGATGCGGTGATTTTGCTAGATACTCGTGCGCATGTCAGATGGTGCCGAGTAGAGACCTGTCGCTGTGAACTTGGTGACAGCAGGTAAGTGCATGTAAGAAACTACGAGCTTCGTTGCGAGGAAAGGGTGAGACTTGGACTCCCGATCAAATTTGCAGGGAGTGATAGACATCTCTTTCAGTTCACTCCAGTTGGAAAGATGCATCTTTCCCCAGGACAGGCACGTCAGCCAGTGGGATCGAATCGAGTGTACGGTTTTCGGGGGGCAATCTGAACAGTTCGGTTGTGGTGTAAAAATATCATCATTAACTTACGCCATCTGTATTGCCGAGGGCTAAGTTGATGATCGGATACTTGTTTACCATCCACCCATAGTCCATCAACCCGATCGACTTCAAAGGCGCCGCGAACAGCGTGAAAAGGAATGCTGTGATTGCATCCCAGTAGATGTGGATTTGGAGCCAGTTGACATTAGGTGGGAAGAACATGGATCCAAACCATTGATCGAAGAGACCTTTCCCATAGACCGTATCTGGAAGCTGGCCTCGAACCAAGACTCGATATGCGTCTGTCAAGAAGCTGAGATCATAATCCCAGCCGAATGGATGAGCTGAGGAGAATTCAGTCCGGCATGTCTCTTTGGGATAGCAAGATTCTCTGGGGATTTCGAGTTTCAACGATATTCCGGCCCCGCGGAGTAGGTAGAAGTATGTACCTGGAGTTGACTTACCATATGTATGAAAGTGTCTGACATGCTTGATTGCACCTTTGTTGCCCAGAACTGTACGTATGAACAGGTTATACGGATCGCGATGATTTAGAAAGATTTTCGAGTAGATAAATGGTTCCGTGACGAGGTGAAGTCGTCTCGAAAATCGAGCGATCGCTGTCAGTGGTGAGTCGAGATGGCGCAAGATCTCACAGATGAGTTCGTTGGAGAATGCCAAGAGCGACATGATGGGCAGGTTCTTCTCTTCGACTGTGTGCTGTGAAAGACGATTCAAATGCCGGCCGCGGCTGAACTAGACACGATGACGGGTCCGTCGGTATTAATATCAGCTAGTATATTCTCAGCTATTATATTCTCAGCTATTATATTCTCAGCTAGTATGTTCTCATGACTTTGCCAGATCACGTGCATGTACCTGATGTTCAGTACAGGTTTCGGCGGTGTATGGATGTACATTATATATCTGTTAACTTGGTAATAGTAGAGTAGTAGCAACATACTACATCCATATACCGAACCCGTAAATGCATCCAAGGCGATTCCGAAAAAAAAAAACAGTAAAACAGTCTCTGTCGACCAAGATCCCGTGTTTTCATTTGCTAGTTCCTGCTCTTCTCATCAACTGTAATTGAGCATTGATAAACCGTAGTAAGTATTGCATTTATCACGTGGTTGATGATATGATTCGATTCGAAGGAGCAGCACCCCGCATAGAAGGAAGGGTAACTCGGGATCTCACATCATAAATGAACCTGAATAATCCAATTTTAAATTGAATAATACCTACGGCACATTCAAGGTCAGGTGCCGCGTCGACTCGGCTCCGAGGAGCATCACCGTACCACGCTACACCGGTTGAGCAGACCGACCCTGGACAGACCCTAGAAAATCAAAATCAAAACAAACGGAACGCGTCGCTGTATCGCGACGGGAAAACAAAGCTATTATCACTACCAACAATGCGCGTTATAAAATACGCACTTAACGCGAGAGGCAAGCAAAATTGTTGATTTAGTACGCTTGCTTCTCTTCGCTGATGTGGTATAATTACAATCGTCCAGTGCCCCCATCCGCACACCTTAGCCCCACGCTATCCATCCATCAACAGCCCAGAGGCAGGATCCTTCATTGCAAGAATCCCAATACTGTGTCCATCTTGAACCTTTGGTACACAGATATTGAAAAGCAACCCAGAGCCAGCCAGCCATCCCTCAATAGATAATCCGAACAGAACGTGAGATCCGTCAAAAACAAGACAGAAAGGCGCGATCAATCCCATTTCCCATCGCGATAGACCCATCCGTAACGCCAGTATGAACAACAGAAGAAGATCAGAGAGTCACTATCTACACCTTGCTCGGCGTGGCCTTCTTCTTTGGTGCTGCCGTCTTCTTTCCTGCGGCTTTCTTGGGTGTGCTGTTAGTAGTCTTTGTCACTCGGCCGGACTTGGTGGTGTTGAGGACGCTGGTCTTCTCGACGACTGCGGGGGCCTGGCAATGGTTAGACGCGTTGTAAACGGGGGGTCGAGGTGTTGGCCTACATCCTTAGGAGCAGCGGCCTTCTTGGGTTTAGGAGTAGCTTTTGGCTTGACATCCTTGACTTTTGCGGGAGCCTTTGCGGGAGCCTTTGCCTTCGTAGTCTTTGGGGAAGCTTTGGTCTTCTCAACCTTGGTCTTCTCATCCTTGGGGGCAGCAGTCTTCTTGGCGGTCGAAACCTTCTTCGCAGCGGGCTTCTTCTCGACGACGGCCTTCTTTTCGACGGCCTTCTTGTCTGCCTTGGGCTTGGATGAGGTGGATGAGACCTTGGGTGCCTTTTGGGCAAGCTTGACAGTTCCGGATGTGCCTGGTCAACGTGTCAGATGATAATCGGGGAGATGATTGGATCGGAAGACGCATACCCTTGGGTTGCTCAAAAACTTTCTTCTCTACACCAGTCGCGATTGCCTTGTTAAAAGCAGAGGTGAACATAGCATCGCCAGCCTTGATGACGTTGTTGGCCTTGACGAACTTCTTGATGGCCGAGCGGCTGAGGGAAGAGGGGTCAGCATCCGTCAGGCAAAGACGCGTCGCATCGCGTCGGGATGCAAAGACTGGACTGGACTGAGGCAACGTCTCTTACCTGGAACCCTTGCGATCCTTGAGGGTAGTGATGGCATGGATGATCATGTCTGCGGTCACGCGTAAGTCATTGCTTTGGTATTGGTATAAAAACAAAAGCATCAAGCAGGTAGAGACACTCGATGCGACCCGGGAACTACACGCGCAATCGCGTGGCGACGTCGTGATAGTGGGTGAGGAAGCCTACCTTGGTAGCTGGAGCTGCCATCGGTGGCCTTGGGCTTGGTTGCGGTAGAGGCCTTGGGAGGCATTTTGATTGAGGAGTTGGATTTGAACTGAGTGGATACCGCTGCTAAGAGGGAGGGATGAGAGATGAGAGAGATGTAAGATGGAGACGGAGACGGAGACGAGATGAATCTATCGACGTTGATTATCGAAATCGGGATTAATGTTGGAGACGTGGGAGAAGGAGCGGGCAGCGAAGCGGGGGCGCGAAACGGGAAGGGCGAGTATTTATGGAAGAAGCGAGGGTCATGCCGCCCGTCCAGATCAGAAACGCTAAGATAAACTAGCTTGGGTCTAAACCGCTTTCGGAGCAGGGCTTTCCCTAAAAACTGGGTCCTTTTTTGAGCGGTATTTTCCTCGGAGCCTTCTGATTGGTCCAAGAAGCCAGGATTCCGAGGCGAAACGAACGAACGAACGACAGATGACACTACCCTCCTCTCCCTCCTCTCCTCTACGGCTCCACGGTGGCATGAGAAAAAAGTGCCAACGCATCCGAGTATCTGTCTGTGTCTTCTATTGCTCATCTCCCATTGTTGTCGTCCATCCAGATCTGACTATCAATTGATTCTCTGACGTACCATTCATCTCAAACTTGCTGCATAGTATTACACCTATCGAGGCGGGAGATCGTGCCTTTTCCCAAGTTGACAGCCAACACGAGGGATGCGATGCTGTTTGATGACTGTGCCTGCTCTCTGCTCTCTCTCATCCTTCCCATGCTCGCTATGATGGACGCCATGAGGATACTGAACAGCTCCGACAAATTGGATATGCGAAACTGGCGGGCGTTGAAGGCAGGTCACTCGCGGAAGCTGTGGCGGAGCGACGCCGAAAATGAAGCAATTCAGACTTTGCGACCGGTGGGAATGAACCACCCATTTCCAGCCACCAACGCCTTTTTGCCTCCCTTCAAACCCCCTCGCAAGCATCTGTAACTGAAGCTCTTCAAATCTGTGTACTCCGATTTTAATCATTTCTTGGTTGTTGTTTTCTCACGATTTTCTCGGTGTGGTGCTTACCGTCCACGGTCGCAGTTTTCTTCTTCCTACTTTGCCGCTGGCCACAACGCCATATGGCCAGTCTTACGAAACGGCTTCCGCCTTCGCCGCCTTCAGTTGAAATCCAACTCAAAAGGATGATGCACTCTTGTCTCACACTGTGTTGGCTCCTAGCTCCTAGCTCCTCGAAAGAGAGGCGCATCTCGCCCTCGAACAGTCTGTGACGTGACTCCGTATCGCACCTTGGTATGCAGCCAGCCTCCCTTTGCCTCTACATGTCAGCACACATGTGCTACCATTACGAACACTCGCCCTGTCCCATCAGCCGTTTTTCATTCTCAAATTGGCACATACGCGCTATCCCCCCAAACTCAAATCAAAAGTCTTTTGAGGGTCAAGTTGTGGGATCTTGGGAGAGGTTTTCAGTCGCAACCGCAGCTTCCAGATCACCCTCCGCATTGAATTTCGGCACCACAAAAGACGTAATTCTCATAGCGATCCCCGTACCCTCTCACAGGTCGAGGAGACTTTCTTCGTTGCTTTGACACCGTCCAAATCTTCATATGTGGAATGAGCGCCCAACCTGGCGCGCCCTCGAACAGCAGAAATGCGCCCCGGTGGCCACGACACCCTTCCTATGTCCTTTCGCTCATAACACTAGACTTGCCATTGCTTCGAAAAGCAGAAGTCTAATTTTGATCCATCACGGGACTCGGAGTATCGGCATCCTGCGACGCTACAAATCGCGACCGACCATAACACCTATCCCTCGTCCCTCCGACCGTGGGCCAATCTTCCACGATTGAAATACACGAGTGTTGTATACAGCCATATATATTTTTACTTTTTGACTTTTTTGAAGGGTTCGAAATCCATGAGTCTTTACACGTTCAAGGGTCCAGTCGGTTGTTTCAAATCAGCCTCAGACACATATGCATTCATTTCACCAAACCAAAACCATTATTACTCGCGGTAAAAGGATCAATAATCCCTCGTCCGTAAGTATATATACCAAGTATTTCAAACATCATTTCGCTACCGATTTACTATCGGTCTTTAAAGTCTCCTTGTTTGTCATTCGAGGACTTGGAAGCAATTTACACATTCCATCTACGCAAACCGCACTATCGTACTGCGATCGCTCGGCCACTGATCCAGTGGTCCACTTAAATCCCTAATCACTTTTCTCTTCGATCTCATAAAGTATATTGTGTTCCCTTTCCTCTCTGTAAGCTGTGCGCTGTGCATACATACAAAAACATATATTATAGCCCTCGCGTGTGTATAACAAATTTTAAAAGAATATTGATCCTTCTTCTTCAAATCAGATCCACATCTCTTAAACTCCTTCCCAAGACCATTTCCCCTCTCCCATATCCTAATTGACATTTACAGAGTATACATTAATCACATGATCCCTTACACCCCCGGCGCTCCCCGCACCTCCCCCATCTGTGGTGGGGCTTAACGAAGAGCGGCGCTAGGGTGCACGGGCCACAACCTGGGGGAATACTATCTCGCGTTGCTTGCAAATGACTTCCTGGAAAAAACAACCATCCTTCTACCAACTTCACAACTTATTCAGCTCCACCCCCCTCCGCCAGCGTCACTTCCTCTCTCAAACCCAGCTCGATCCCCGCATATGATCATGTCTCGGGCGGTTCCCACGGAACCCACGGGTTCTTCTCCGAATTTTTCTTCATCTTCGTCAGCCGCCCCGACCTCCGCTCCGATGCCGACTGGCTGCTCAAGCTCCACGTCTCGGGTGTCAAGCGGGGGCTCCGCAGTGGCGGGACCAGCGTAGCCGTGGTGATCACGACCTTCTCCACCGGCGTCCACGCGCCCTTTCCGGCGCTGCTGCGGATGGTCGGCGCGCGCGTGGAACTCCTGCCGCTGCTGCGCGCCCGGTACGTCCGGCTCCGGTACTTCCCGATCCACAGCATCTGCTCGTGCTCGCGCAGGTAGCGCTCCGACGAGAAGTTCCGCAGCACGTTCGCGCGGCCCAGCATACCCAGCTGGCGACGCTGGTCCGTCTTAGCGTACATCCGCTGCGTGATCCACTGCACTTCCGCGGGCGACGGGTGCGGATAGGACAGAACTGGTGCGAGCACGCCCGGCGGATCATCAGCGTAAGCGGCCCAGCCGCCGAGCAGGGCGAGGATGGAAATTTGGGCCCTCGCAAGCGACTCCGAGTCGTTAGGGGGAACGACCTCCGAGAAGCGGGCCCCACTCTGGCCATCGGTGACCACGCAAAAAGAGGCGCCGACGTCTGTGCACACCACTGGCGTGCCGGTCAGAGCCGCTTCGCCCATCGCTAGCGGGAGACCCTCCGATAGCGAGGAGTTTAGGAAGAGCCAGGCGTCTTGGAGCACGAGTGAGGGGTTGCCGAGACCCTTGAGGACGCAGTGGTCGCGGAGGCCTTTGGAGGCGATGAGTTCTTGACATTCGGTCGAGTAGCTGGCCGCTCTTTCCATGTCGCCGTAAATGTGAAGGCTATAGTCCGCAAAGCCCCATTTGTTGACAATGAAGTCCGTGGCGAGGATCGCGTTCTTGATATCCTTTATGTACTGGACGTGAGACAGCATGACAGCTGTGGGCTTATCCGTCTTGAGCTTCCGGATCGGCTCGAACTTTTCCATGTTGCAGATACCATTGACCACGGGATCGATCTTGCGGGCGAAGGTACGGCGGTGTTCCAGATTCCCTTCGGCGGACCCCAGCTCAACTTCCCAGCCAGGATTGAAGTAGGCGGCACAAGGAAGGACGACGTCTGCGTGGTGCTCGAGCAAGACACAGCCCATGTGGCCCAGAGAGATCAGAGAACTGTTGATGAAAGGAGTGTCAAACGATACCGCGGAGGACATAAAGTTTGTCAGCTCACGGAAACTGATACAATGATCCCAGACGTGCAAGGTACAGTGTCTCTTGACCTTGCAAACAATTCCATAGCCGGCGCCGGTAAAATGATGCGACGCTTGAAACACATCGGGGATCTTTTCTGGGACGGGGATCGAGAATATAAACAGGTATCGATGCCACATGTCAAGAGCTTGATCCATCTGCAGCATTGTTGGCTTTTCGAAGTCCCACCACTTCGATACTGGCAAAGTATCTGGCATATCTTCATCCAACCACAACTCTCTCCAAGTCTGCTTGACAATCTCGCTGTCCCAGACATCATTCCAGTTTCGCGACGACTCGAAATAGGTGTTCAGATCGCACAATGCCTTCGTAGCCTCTTCGATATGCAAACGGTTCAGGTGGAGTGTTCTCGAAGTCCGGACCAAGCTGGTAAGAATGGGCAGGAAGTTGGCTTTGATGTCAGCAGTTCGCGTGTCGTAGGATCTTTGCACAACTGCTGAATCGAGGATGTTCCGGAATACCCCGTGAGTCGGGTTGAGGAAATCCAAGCCCCACTGAGGGATGATGGTGAGGGATTGTACATTCCTTTCGATCTGAAATTTGGGTACTCCGTAATCATTCGCAGATTCGGCGACAACGTGCCATCTGATAGTCTTGAGATCGTTGACCATATCCCTGCGGCAGGCGGAAACGCCACCGGGTTCGTTAGGCCACGTCGATGTATCCATGGCCAGGATGTGGAGCTCCTCGTCGCTATCTCGGAGCTGGGTTTCGACAGTCCTGGTGTTAATTCTAGAGTCTCCACCGGTCCCCATAGAGTAGTAATCACTAATCTTGAACGCGATGTGTACCCACGAGGAGACTTCGGGATCAACATCGACTCGGGCCATGATGGTATCCGCCTGTGCATCAAGGTAGTCTCTTGCAGCGTCATGTCGGCCCCAATCTCGGTTTCTCCAGTACGTTCTGAGAACACGGTCTGATCTCAGGAGACCTTCATCAAGCCATCTTGCTGTGACAGCGTCGATTTCCTTGCCTCCTTTCCACGTTTTCCATAGATGGGTTCTAGCCTGAGCGGTAGAAATCGGATAGCGCTTGATGTTCAGACCAAGCAGGCGCCACACGAGGTTCGACTTGATTGTAGAGAATGGAAGGAGCGGGTTGTCGTTTAAGAAGCCACATCTCTCCGGCTTCTTGAGAACGGAGAACCAGTCCTCGTGTATCATGGGAGGGGTTGCAACCAACTCGCCGTTCAGAGTAGTCGAGATTTCCGGATGAGACTTGTGCTCATATGTCCATGATGCATGATGGACATCCGAGCCCTGGATGAAAGTCGCTTCCGTGACTTTTGCGAAGGGGATCCATTCTTCCAGCCTCTGGGGGTGTTTCCGGCCCGGCATGGACCAGGATACCCGGATTGTGATGTGAGGGAGGACAAATTCGCCCCTGAGAAGCTCGTCTTCAAATCTGGCTGAGTTTCGGTACCAGTAAGTGAAGTTGACAGGGTTTACGCCTCTGAAGTACGATCCGGTGGTGATGTAACCTCTCTCATCATATTGCACGATTTGTCCAGTGAGGTCTCCCTTGAGACACTGACGCTGCATGGGTAGCTTTCCATTTGATCCCTTCCGAGCTTGAGGATAGTCGTATACGAACAAGTTGATCACGTTCGCACTTCGAAACTCTTCTCTCTGACGCAGGATCAGCTTGTCAGTATATGTATTGACGGCCATGAGAGTTGTGGGATCGGTGGGCTCTCTGTCGTGCTGGCCGGTATATTGACTAAGGCGCCTGCTACCATCTGGCTGCACCGTCAAGAAACAAGTGGAAGAACCACCGAGGCCTTCGATGACGATCCTGTTCTTCTCGATGACGGTCTTCATACCCTTCATGTCGCTATGAAGCTTATAAACCTTCTCGCGGCCGTGGAACATCACCATTGGCAGGACAAGCCCCTGCAATATTTTGCAGAAAGACCAGATTCCGTTCAGGAAGAGGTTCGTCGGCCATCTTACGAAAGCAGGTTTGGCACGCATCGTGTAGTCCAATTCTCGTTGATACTCCGGGTCGGCGGTAAGCGAAAGGCATACGAACTTGACACAGATCCGCACATTATGGTAGAGGGCAGCGACACACCGTGTCAGGATCCCAGCAATCGAGCGTGGTTGTTTCGCGACCGAAGAAGAGGCAGAGCCGAGAAGCCTCGCATTGCTTAAATCGGGATACTCTGGCTCACTCTCGCTGAAGACCCCGCTGAGATCTTCGCGTGACTTGGCGAAGGAGTAGACAGATACTGTGAGAGAGGCTCCCAGATCACAACGAGCGACGTACTCTTCGGGTTCTATGCAATCCGATGGAGAAATTTGCGTACGGATCCAAGCCTCTTCCACAGAGGTAATAGGCTCAGATTGTCCGCAACATCGTCTCAGCAGGAAAGATCGGACTTGCCGGGGCAAATTGTCCCACTCGCGTTCGCAATCTATGCCCTAGATCGCGGGTGAGTTAGTATTTTTGCCATTTGCGGATAATTTCGGGAAGGGATTTAACAATATATCAAGATCTCGTGACTGGATACGAATGAATGGATATGGTCCTTTTCCCCCTTACCTCCCCTCCCTTTTTTTTTTAACTTACGAGAAGTAGGTAGCGAAGAAGCGTCCGATCCCCATTGTTGATGATCCGAGAACGTTCGGTGGCCGAAGTCTCAAGTTGACGTTTGAGACCCTCTGGAAGTGCCAGCTCATCGCTACCAGAATTGCCCACGACCAGGAGTTCGGCCAGCATCGAATGATCGTGCGAAAACCCAAATTGAGATTCTGCCGTAGCCTGGAAAATAGCCTCCCCGATCACCTTGAAGTTTCGGTGGATGTTGAGAGTCCATTCGTTACCTTCTCGATCAAGACCGAGGACGACAAAGAGATGCAGCCGGTCACCTATTGAACGGCTGATGGTCCGGATCTTTTGTTCTTGCTGCGGTAGGTGTTCTCCGGATACCAATTCGACAGTTATCTTGCCGGTCCTCCAGAGTTCTGCACTTCGCTCGACTAGCGCTCCTGCTGAGGGAAAGGCACTTTGCAAAATCTCGGCATGTGTCGCCCTGCTCTGTGCTATTAGATGTTGCAAGACATTTGCGCCAGGGTGCTGGGCCGGCTCAAGTAGGAAGCGTTGCTCAGCTGGAAGAGCACATACGAAGTCAAACATCTGCGACAAAGTTGCTTGAGAAATTTCAGGGTAAGGTTCTAAGGCGCTGACAGAGTAGGATACGGGTGTTGGCTTCGTATCCATGTCGTCGTCCGTCGGGAGCTTGCCATATGTACATTTCGAGTTGAAAAGTCCGGGCCAACCGATATCGGACAGCCACATCGAGTACGCTGCCGCTATCCACGTCCCAATGGACAAACCGATGACTCCGCCATAAGCAAAATACGGCAGATAGACGTGGAGGGTAATCCCGGCTGGAAAACCAATAACGAACGCAACACCGAGACACTTTGCCGATGCGGTTGCACAGTAAATCTTATTGTACTGGAAGAGAAGCAGCCCAACGTAAGCAAAAACGTAGGCCAAGAACATGATGGATGCACCTTTCGACGCCTCAAATACCCACATGAGGGCAGACGTGATTGAGATTCCCCAGATGTGCATGAAGAAGAACTTCGCTAATGACTTCCAGTAAAGTGCTCGTCTCGCCCTCCTATCGTTGATCCCAGCTTCGTGGAGAAACTTCAAGGAAGTGATGGGCTGATTCGTTGCTTGGTTCGCCGCGGTCCATAGAGGCTGGGAGACGGCATCCAGAGACACCGCACCGATGAGATAATAGCATAATCCAAAGCCCACTGCGAGGCGGTATTGCTCACTACTTGCAGCCGAGAGACCTACGAGGGAGCCGCCCGAGACCAGTGCCGCCCATTTATCAAGGAGCGCAACGACAAAATACAACACCCCGGACCAGATGTCGTCGCCGGTATGACGCCAGTGGAGAAAAGCACTGTGCAGCTTGAGACCTTTCTGCATGTTACCCATGTTGTCGTAGGCAGCTTTCAGGGTGAGATTCCAGGTCGCGCTGTATGGCAATGGCATTCTAGTCCTCTTGAACCTGCAGAACCAGCGCATGAGAAACATGGTGGAATGATAACCTTCCGCAAGCTTGGCGACGAGCGGGTTCGACGTCGGCTTGGTCCAGAAATGTCGGTTGCATTCTGCAAGAACGGCAGCATGAAGTGCCATCCTTGGGTACGGCCCTGTTCCGACTTCTTGAATGTCTTCAACCTGGCCGCATTCTGCTCTCGTTGCAATGTACCAGCTGACAACCTCGGCATCCGTAACAAAAGGTATGTTGAGATACCAAGTGCTCCATTGAGACATTGTCCTCCGAGCTCCGTAAAGAAGAGAATACAGGAAAATGGTCAGAAAGCAGACGTATACGGCGAGATCATGACCGGTCCACAAGGTCACCACGGGCGCGATGAATAGGATTGGGATGCAGTACATGATAACAGTCCGCCCAGACTGGAAACTCGATCCTGGAACTTGATAGATGGAGAGTGCCGAGAGCGTCATGAGGTAGGTCGCAAGCATTGAAAAGTAGAAGCAGAAGACGAGCGCAGCCACGGGACTCCTTATGAATGCGACGGCTATGAATCCACCTATATCGACCATGATGACGATTGCGAGTCCAGCAACGAAGCGAGTGAGAACGAACATATTCATTGCTGGGAAAGCGTTGGCGTAGAGGTAGTAACTTCCTCCCGACGAAATCCAGGAGCCCACCGCTCCACATGCCAGAAGCGCAAACATGAGTGCCGTGGTGGCCATCGTCTTCTCTGTCGAGGACATGAAGGTGGTCAGGTAGAGGCCTCGGCCTACTGTGGTAAGTAACATGATATCAATAAGTGCCGGTACAGCGAAGATCCCCAGGAAAGTGATCTTGTAGTATGCGGGAACATCTTCTTGACCGTCCTTGGGATCCAAGTCGATCTGCATAGGCGCGTAGGCAGATGGGAGGTCAGTGAAGCCCTCTTCGCGCCGCGGTGGCTGATACTTGGTGTAGTAAGTCCTGTATCTGCGTGAGAGGATCCTTCCAAGGTCTCTGGTTGTCATGTCGAAGAATGAATCACAACGGGAACCGAGGGCAAAATTCTCGGCAAAGCAACCTGCAGCGTCCGTTGCATGGTTGGGAAGGGGGTTTCTATCCAGGATCTCCAAAAGAATCTCATCGAGTGCGAGCTTGCGGAATGCAGAGAACAGAGATAGAGCGAGTATGTCGGCGCCAGCGTCAACCTGATCGTCCTGCAGGATTGTCTGGACAACCACACCAATCTGGGCAAGGATTGCCGTTTCACAGTTCATGAGAACTTCGTGCACGCGAGCATCGATCTCTTCAAATAGTGAGATGGCGGCGGCATGGGCAGGAAGCCAACATCCTTTCTCCCCAAGGAAGTTCAAGCGGGCCATCACCAGATCTGAATTTGATATTTCGCCACCGAGATGCGATGTGGATGCCATGGTTCTGAGCTGCGACAACGTCGGGACCTCGATGAGTTGGTATTCGCAGCAGGCCCGAATCTTGGCTAATAACAGGAAGTCATATCCATGCCCTGACAAAACCAGGCGTCGAAGGAATAAGATGGTTTCTTCTGGCGAAAGCTGCTCCAGGTCATAGACGATGCGAGGTGGAAGCTGCCATGTCTTGGATAAAGTCTGGTTCAGTTCAGATAGAGCTACTTCGGCAAGAAAGCATTCGGTTCGGCTACATCCTCGACTTGAGAGGAAAGTGTGGAGCAAAGTACCCAGACGGTCCTGTGACTTGTCCGATAGGTATATATTCAGAATACCCGTACTCGGCTCGAAATCGTACAGACCCCAGAACTGGACCTTCGGACCTGTCTGGAATCCTGAGTGCAGGCCAGCATAGATCTGGATGCGGGGTTTGCCATGATCATCGCTGACGGTGAGGAGATCCAGCAATTCGGAGATCGCCTGTGTCGTGTCGGAGTCGATGGCTTCAGATCCTTTTGATTCATACAGAGCTCTTATCTGTTCACAAAAGCCTTTTACTTCGCCTATCTCGATTTGTTGTAACAAATTAAGTTCTTTGAGATGGCGTTGTGCCTGAAGAAGGTCTCCAAACTCTTGTGGAGCAACTTCCAAACCTATAAACCAGAGTTCGAAGTCAGCTTGATTCTGAGAAGCTTACCTAAGAGTGGTATCGAAGAAGAAAAAAGACCGATATGCAAGAGGGAGAGCAAGCAAGGGGGAAAGCAAGAGGTGGAGCAAACCACAGCTCTCTGTGAATTTGAAAGACGTAGCTAAAGAGACGTACCTAAATGGAAGGAGCCCAAGCCGGTAAAGTCTTCGCCTCCAGCAGATGCAGATAACGGATGGGGCTGCGAATAACTGTGATCTGACTGTCGATGATTCACGATACCACTTCCGGATCCGAACTCGGCGCTGCCGCTGTTATTAGGAGGGTACAATTGTAATTTGGCTGCTAGTCCAGGGATCAAGGAGTCCAACGAATCGTAAAGAGCTTGATGGCCCCGTGAGGTCTCGGATATCTAGACAACATGAGGTACTTATTAGCATGTTTATATTTATGCTTATTTTTAGAGCTGCAATTGGCGCCAAGAGCGGGAGAATTCTATCAAATATCCCGACGACGACGGCGATTCTCTAAGACCTTCTCGGAATCTCGACTATACCTAGGGATGCCATCTCGCAAATTCGACACTCTTCAATCCGGAGTGGTTTCTATATATCTCACGTACCTGATCATTCGCTCGCCAAAAGTTATGGGCTTTCATCACGTTTTCGTCCTTCAACCACATGAGACTTCCAAGAGGTTTGGAATCGACAGTGTGTATAGCAGCAGTATCTGCGTTGGTCAATGAGCCTGCGGATCCTATCCAGCACAGGGCGCTATTGAATTCAGACCAGATAAAGCTGCGTTGCACAACGGCATACTGCGGCTTCACCCCATCGTCGATCGTCTCCCACATCATCATTAGCGACCGTGAGCGCTGCGCAGCTATCGCTCTCATAGCTGTTCGCATCTCGTTCATATGGAAATAGTTTTTTCGGTCTCCATCGCGTCTGATCGTTCCGTTGCGATAGACAAGGCCTGTGACCAGGTCCATCTGGATTTCCCGACATTCACTTTGGGTCAGGCATTCCAGGGGCGACGTATCAATCTCGAGCCAGAGATCCAGGCCAAGGCTCCTGACATATGTTGCCGTCTTATTCAGAACGACGGGTTGAAGATGTGCCCTGAAGCCTGCCAATAGAACTCCCGTGAATGGCATATGCGTCTGGCTCTGGAATTGTGCGGCCAGCAGTTCCGAGAGAGAAGACAGAACCCGGATCACCTCCTCGCTGCTCGAGCTCGCGCTTGACTCTGCGAGCGCGCGCAGATCGATTCGCCCCAGTTTGTGCGTTGAAGTAGCGTGCGTTGTCGAAAGGGCGTTCAACACCCCTTCCTGGAGAGGATCGAGAACAACAACATCCCATTTGGACAGCAGCTTTGTTTGTGACACAGTCGGTGGATTGGCAAAACTTCCAAGAAATACTCCGAAGGAATTGGGCTTTTCTCCCGCTTTAGTCTGTAATGAAAGTCTCTTTCCATTGCTGTTCAGGCGTTCCAGGTATCGCGCCACGGCACCGGGTACGACTACTTGTCTGTGGCGTTCCTATATGAAGCCATAACCATGGTGAGTACAAGTACAGGGGCTCGAGCCATGTAAAAATGTACAGAAGCACTTACTCGCCAAATTTCGATGCCTTTGTAGCAGATCCGATACAGCACATATAGGGAGCCCAGGACGATGCTGGCTAGCAAAAATCCCGCTATGAGCTGCTTGATGAATTAGCATGGAAGCAGAGACTTGAAATGAATACCGGGAAAACCGTACTTTATCCCACCACGAATTCAGCATCAAATTCCAGCCAACGGCTGAAAGTCCTAGGTACGTTGGCTTCATTGCGGTATTGTGAAAAAGAGACATGCACAAAAAGCAAACAAAAATAGTCGAGGAGGAATTCACGTCCCGTTAAAAGTTTAAGGGCATGGCGAGAACACTGGGTATATTCCTAGACGAGCTGTGCTCGCGTTCGTCAGTAAGACCACACCCGGTCAGATATTCAGTTTTTTTTTGCACTCATTGTACATACTGACGAAGCATATAGTTCCGGAACAGCCATCAGCTCGCCAGCTAGCCAGCTACAACATGTACGTTCAACTTCGTGTTGCGGAGTTCTAGGCAACTTGTGAAGATCATATCGCCCCTCGACCGCTCGCTCTAGAGAAGTGAAACAAGTAATTCTCCGAGACACTGACTGTGGAGTCTTTTCTGGGGCAGGTCTCACTCAGTATCTATGATCTAATCCCACTTTCCCCACGTGTGGATTGTTCCTGGATGGCGCCATGGGGAATGGCCGGGCATGTTTCGAGGTCATGTTTTCTCGTATCTTTCCCAAACGAGCGTTAGAGCGTTTGAGTTGGCGCAAGCCTGCAATATTTGTCAATATTTTTTTTCTTTTTTGCCAACCCGCTGACTGGGCTCATGCATAGATAGCAGCCCTGGACCCTAGCCACGCTCTTTTAGCCATCCTCTTGGAGGAATGCTCTGCTACTAGTTCAAGACTGTCTATATATCCGTACATTGATCATCCTCGCATAGTTTCCCGGTTTGGGGCTGGGTCTCGCCCGGCCTACGATTTCTGGGACAACAATCAATACCTGCGATAAGCACTTACTAGTTTTTGTCAATCTTGCTTGCCGCCAGGGTCTGCGAAATCCCAGGTCAAAAGCAAGGCTACACGGGCATTTTCCGTACTTGCTGAAGTGAGTTTTATATTATTTATTTTTATGTATTTTGGTGACGATCGCTTGCGCCAAGCGGCAAGGTCAACAAGATCTACATCCGCTAACCCCATCATATCAGGAACTCTTGCATCAATGAGGCTTCTCTGAGATAAGCCCGTGAGTCCAATATCTTTTTTGTTTTTGCAAAGTTGATTTCCAGTGGAGAAGTTTGTTTAGAATTAATGCTTTCCGTTCTGAAAATGACTTTCTTTCCCAAGTCTCTACGAAAACGGAACTGGTTTGTTGCCATTCTTGCCACTTTCATCATCGCCGTCATCATTGCTATCGCTGTTCCTTTGGCTATCCTCATCCCCAATCGAGGAAATGGCGGCCAACGTTCGAGCGTCCTGTTGCCTCTGTACATCTACCCCGAGACAAGTGATACATGGAGTCCGTTGTTCGATGCGTAAGTCCATCTCTCCAAACACATTAACATGTGTTTCAAAATATGGAGATACTGATCTTTGACACGCTCAGGGTGGAAGCTCGTCCTGAGCTGAAGTTCATTGTCATCGTCAACCCAGGCAGCGGCCCTGGCTTATTAGCATACCCCAACGATCAATACTCGGCCTCCATCGCAAAGCTCAACTCATATGCGAATGTACAAACTGTCGGATATGTCCGAACCGGTTATGCCAGCCAGAATATCAGCAGCGTTGTGAATGAGGTATCTACCTACGCGGGATGGTCCTCCAATTCAAGCACCCTGGCTATGCACGGAATCTTCTTTGATGAAGCTCCGCATCAATACTCAGCCGAGGCGGTAGAGTATATGCAGGTCGTTAATCTGGCGGTCAAGAAGACCGTCGGGCTGCAAGGCGACAAGACGGTAAGAAAGGATCGATGTCCACTTGGGAAATTCCGGCTGATATATTGCAGATTATCCACAACCCTGGCACAGTCCCCGATAACAGGTTCAATGACCCCAACACCGATATCACGGTTGTGTTCGAGGAGTCGTACACGGCCTACTCGACCAAGCTCAGCAGCCTCGCCGCCCTCGGTGGATCGAGGTCGCAGTACTGCTACATGGTCCACTCGGCGCCTACCACCGGACTGAAGCGATTCGTTCACAAGATGAGCGAGCGCGCGGAGTATCTATTTGTGACCGATAACACCCAGGATTACTACGAGAGCTTTGGGGCTGACTTCTCCCACTTTGCGGATGTGGTTCCAAGTTAGGCGAGTGGCCGATCTTTGGAGGTTGGGGTTGGGCTGGCTGACAGCGGCCCCCACAGGCATTGGCATCTGTGCGGCGCAGATCTGTCAAAGCTGCATGATAATCCTATTGTCTCCTTCTCAACCTTCCGAGCAGTCTCTGGCAAAAAAGAAATCCTCACCGTCTGGGTTCTGTCTTGGAACGTGATGCATGTGCACTTGTGGATCGCGAGACATTCAACAACGTGCATCAAGCAACCGTCCCAACAACACGCCAATCGCTCCTGTCTTGAGATCAGAGACAGAGATCCTGTCTTTTTTTTCCTCCCCTTTCTACAGAAAAGCACACCCATGGCAGGCAGCCCTGCATCGTCGAAACGGGCCCTGAGACTTGGCGTGAAGGGTGGCGGCTCAAGCAAGCCATGCTGCCAGTTTTTGCGCCCAACAACGACGAGCTTTGTATCTCTCCCGCTCCATTGGGGTTGGTTTTCAACATCTTCCCAGCATGATTCATGACAGCTGTCCAGGGGGTTTCAGGGTTCCGGATGTAAACCTTAATTCGGATCGCTGGTCCGAGCCGTGTCGTCGTCGTCGTTGTTGTTGTTGTTATCAGTTCGTGCTGAAGTGGCCGCTAGACGATTCTTGTTGTGGGATAAGCTCACCGGCTATGCACTACATCGGGGAGCAGACGGGACCCGGCGGACGGCAAAACGAAGAAGGAAGCTGCTGCCGCATTCGAAGCATGGTAGCAACAGCTCCCGCTAAAGGACATCACGATCTTTTCGGACGGGTCAGAACAATACGACCAAGGCAACCGACTAGTAGGCTACGGGTACGTAGTTTATTGAGGACGACAAGAGATAAGCCACGGGTACGGCTTTATCAACGACTGCTTCTACGTCTTTGACGCGAAGGCGATAAAGGCATGGAAAGGCCTTGAACGAGTAGTGCACGCTTATCCGACGGCGAGACGGATCTAGCTTTGCATCGATAACACATCAGTCATCTGATATCTTCGCGGAAATGCTTCCTTATCATCGCAATAAGCGTTCTTGAACGTCCAAAGGGTGATAGAGACTCGAGACGTGCGAATACGATGGTCCTTAGGGCACATAAGCATCAAAGGGAACGAACGGGCGGATAAGCTTGCAGACTTAAGGGCAAGGAAACCGAACTAGGACATTAGTTTAGCATCGCAACTTACGATCAGCGGCATCCGCACACTCTTCCGCGATATACGAGATAAAGCACGAGAAGCTTAGTGGAGCGCAAGCTCCCTTAAGCTCTTACGCTCGTATCGGAAATGGGGCCTTCTATACTTAGTCAAGCTCTTCCCGGAGCTAGAACTCTTACGATATGTCTTATATAGACTACTTGCGATCCGAACTACGCACGGAGACTTTACTTAGTATTATACTAAGTTCCAGCATTACGACGCTAACTTAAGGTATGCTTGCGGCAAACGCAAGTCCCTTTTACACATAGCCTTCTGCCGATTTACGCAACGACGCTTCTTCTCTTAGCCTTATAAGACCCGACCGCGGACCCCTCCGAGCACGATCCCGGAAGCTTACGACTTCCTTAAGGGTCTCTTTAACAATCCGGCCGATTTTCAAGCCTTCTTGACCACTACGGAGTTCTATTCTAAGCATTGCACTCGATAAAGGTGCTATTCTAGCCAACTGATACTGCTTCGGTAAGAAGAACGAGGTACGCTCCGCTTTACTTAAGCTGTAAAGGCTCGTTAGATCAACCGCGTCACGGGACTAGGACTTTAAGATAGCGTGGTGCGCTCCCGAAGGAATTCTCTTTAGCACTGGTGTATTATATTAGGTTTTCTTTTAGAGTTTAGGCTTTCGTATTCACCTTTTCTTTTGTACTCGGCTGACCTCGGTCCGGCCTTGATTCTTATCGCTACGCGACGTAAACAGCTCGCCTTTAGCTAGCTACAGCAGTTTGTACATGCTTGACTCTCTCTTTTATGGTTTTCCTTTAATAAAAGGTTTCTTTTTATATAATCCATCTTATCTGTAAAAGAAGGGCGCATGCGATAGTAGCCCTCGCTATAATACTTTGAATTGCTTTTTAAGGCCTTCTTGTATGTAACTCTTTAGCTTAGCACGTCGCCGTACCCTATAGGAGGTCCTAGGGCGGCAGGCTTCGCCTGCTACCCGCCCGACGTAAATAAATACAACAACAACAACAACCGGCTATGCACTGCACAAGTCGGTTCGAACTTCAGGGACCGACCGGGAGATGGCGCTTATGGAGTTAGACCATGGCCTATATATATCCGGCATAAGTATGTATACGGAGGTGCGATTGGTTACTCTATCCGTACATATGATATACGATTCTTATCTCTGCACGGTCAGGGTCACTCAGGGTCAGTCAGGGTCACTCTCAGCTCCGAGCCGACGGATCATCGTCCAAGACTTCTTCTTATCTGTACCGCCAGCATACAGTACATACTTGGTAGTAGTTGTACATGATGGCTCTCTCAAGCAACAGAGTTGGATGTGGAGATGCACGCCCAAATAGTTGTTGGCCAGAGCGATCATCCCCTAGCAGTACTGTATTCGCAGCAGCTGCATCATAATCGCAACGCATATTCATTTTCTTTACCGACTAAGTTAGTCCGTTTCGGCATCGCATCGATCCCAAACCAAACCCAAACCCAAACCAGACCAGACCAAGCCTACATACAGCCCAGCCGAGATCGACTTGTCTGTGTCGTGCCAATCCATACCCACCCATCCATACGGGAGCCGCTTTACGTAGTATTATCAAGTATACTACTCCGTGCAGAGTCGGTTTCTCTCTCCGTTACGCCGTTACGGTTTACCCCTCTCGAACGGCACTGCTCGCGGTCCACGAAAGACGAAAGTGGGTTTTCCTCCTGCCACTACTACCCCCTCCTCCCCTCCCTCCGTGTCATGGCGAAACAAAACCCATTGCTCTTTTTTCTTTTTTTTTTTTTCTCTCTTTCTCTCTTTCGATTACCAACGGCTTTCTTGGCTTGGATTTTAACCGTAACTTAAAAAAGACCTGGCGGGCTGGGGATTCGAGAGGCCTCCCCCGCTATTCTTTTTAATCCGGGGAGGGGGAGGGGGGGAAAGGTTTTGCTTTTTTGGGGGGAGGAGGCGGGGGTGGGGGAGAGGAGGAACCTCGCTCTTACACTGCCGGTGCAACCTTGCCGAGGAAGGAAAGATAGGCTCGCTCGTGGGTGGATGGATGGATAGATATGGGTCTGTTAGTGCTCCGTCTTTCGGTGTTTTGCTTTGGGTCCGTGCCTGTAGCTTGGGTGCCTGCCTGCTACCATGAACATGTATCGTGCGTTGTAGATAATTACGGAGGAGGATTTTTGGGGGTTTTTAGCGGCTCGCTTAGGGAAGGGAATGTAAACAGTTGGATATAAAAAACTTTTCTCGATTTGTGTAAACCATCACCCGTGAAACGCGAAGTCGCGCCACAACCTCCATCGCCGCCACGAATCCCTGTCCCGTTCCTGGGCTGAAGCAGCGGTTACTCTCCCTAGATTCTTCGAGCGTAGAGAGCTGACAGAGACAGAGCGCTCGTGTGTCTACGCGCTAGGTCACAAACGTGAATGAAGTTTCGGATTGCGGTCCCGTCGGCCGGCGTGCTCCAGACGGTTTTCAAACACCGACAGCTTTTTTTTCGCACTGGCTGGTAATGTTTTCCACCACGACCGATAGCAGATTGTGAGGGCTGGCCTTTGGGGTACCTCGCCGAGAGGTCCTGAGAGGTTGCAGCCGATCGATTTGATAGACGGGGGGCTGAAGATATTTTTACGAGGGGCTGGACTAGACCAGGTAGGTCAGAGAGGATTTCTTCGCCGAGGAAATTCCCTCTGTCCGTGAAGACTATTGATGTCAGTTAGGCCTGGCTGGGAAGCTGTGCCCGCGCCATCGGCGTCCAAATAGGCCTCACTCTGGTGAGCAACGTGCTCCTCCCGGAGCTGGCCAATACTCTCGGCCGGAATTTCCGTATTCGACTGGTGAGAACTAGAAGACGAACGTCTCGAGGCTGTAATCATCTGAGAGGAACAAGAGATCAACCATCGTTTTGGTAGTGTTTCAGTGGCTGTCTGATGCTGTTCTCAACTGCTTTGAAGGCTACGAAGTGGATGACTCTGATGATGTTCGGCTCGCGTTGCTGATTCGGAAGACTTGACGTACAATGCGACTCGAAAAAGACGCCTCGACGCATACTCATCTTGAGAATTCTAAGGGTAGAGTTCGACTTCTGAGCAGAGACCCCCGCAGCCGTAGAAGTGACGCTTCGGCAGTGTCGTAATCTTGCCGAAGATATCGTAGAAGCTGTTGCTCAGATCGTCGACAATGATCACGTTGTACCCGGATTTGAGAAGCTCCAGGCACGTGTGCCTGCCGACGAAGCCCAAGCCCCGGGTAGCTGATCTCGAACAACATCGCTTTCTTATCTGGCATTCTAAGTTCTTCCCACGGTTCTAAATAGATCTTGCTCACGATCGCGCAGTCCTACCGCATTGGAGGCACTAACATCGGACTCATTCGAGTATCAGGAAATTGAGGTTTTTTTGCGAGAACTTTCTGTTGGTTTGCCGATGATAACAAACGTCAAACAAATGAATCTTCTTCTGCTTATCTCAATAGGTAGGGCACAAATTACATCTCTCTCGATATTGAGTCTTCGTTATGATTCTTGATTACTAGCTAGCTAAGAGAGACTCTAGCTACATAAAGGATTAGACAGACTACTCGTCCCGAGCGTAGGGGACGTGTATCCGTGATGGAGAAGTGAGTGCTCCTACGGAGTAAACACATGTGAAGCAGGCCCAAACGTATAGCCGAGGGCTAAGCGAAGGGGCCAAAACCAGCGTCAGAGCGTTGCTAGCGTCATAACAATGCTCTGACCACTAGGTTAATGAGTGAGGGACACCGAATTTTATATCACTTGCTTTCGTCAATGATGCATCAAAAAAACTTTCTTATCCGAATATCAAATCTGTAATGGGGCTAGACTCTAATAGCGCAGAACAGGTGTGGAAAACCAGTTGATCGCGACTACAGACTTCTGAACAGAATTGGCGTATCTGTAAGCTAGGCAACGGCTGGGTCAAATCTATGGCAGCAATGGAATAGAAATTATTTCGAAATTAATAGATCCTACGTAAAGCTATTCGAATATCTCATGTCAAATCGGCGTGAGGTCAAAACATCCAGTCGGTAATAAGCGAATAAGTCAACTCTAACTGCTAATGCATAAACTTTTATTTCGCACCAGAACTCTTTACATTTGACAGCTTAGGCTTTCTGCAACCATAAGCTTTGAAAGGTAAACAAAATTATAATCTTTTTAATAACAAGATATGGCTTATAACTATGAGACGGTTGCATTTTATATTTATTATTTAATGGAGCTAATTATAGTAGAAATATAGAAAGTTGGCTTTCGCTTAACTTTAAAATAAGTCTTCAAAAAAAGCGACTTCAGCTTTATCTTTTGTACATACTACGTAGGTCTACCAAACACGCAGATTTAAGCTCGACGGTTTCAATAAACTAATCGTCGGCTCGCTTAGGTAGGCCTCCTTACATCCTTTCAATCTTAATCGGCGTAAGCGATTGCGGATCGGAAGCGAATGCGGATTTTTATTCTACTATTAGTTTTTGTATACAAAATACAACTTACAAGATTACTTTTTAATTTATAATCGCATAATTCAATAGTATTTAACTAATTATAAGCCGAAAATATGTTTATATACCGATGGTTTGATATTTTAAATGGATGAAAAGCCTGCTGCTGAGCAGCAAGCTAAAGAAAATCTTGAATTTGCTATAATAACGAATCGTCGATGAGATTTAAAAGTAAGAAATGCTGAATATCGTGAAAGCGTCGATTTACGCAAAGCTAAGCGCGAGCGTAAACGGATTATACGAAGACGCTGCAAGCTTAATTATTAAAAACGACGATATAACACTCGTTTTAATTCTCGATTCGGAAGAGATTTGGTAGTTGCAATAGCTTCTTGAGCGTTAAATTTTGCGGCCTCGTAAAAAAAGGTGTTCTTCGATCAACTCTCTCTCAACCTGAACCTTTTCTTCGTAACGATGATTTTATAATTACAATTGATATTATTAAAGACCCTTTTATAAAGTAACTTCTTTTTCTTTTTCTTGGTAGATACTTTTAATTTTGATAGTAGTAAAGATTCAAACGATTTGTTGCGTAAGGTAAAAGACGAGTCAGATTCTAATTAAAATAGTAATCGATGGTTAGATGTTTCATTAAATAATACGACTTTAAATATTTCGTAAGAAAGTATACTCGTAGATTAATTATTTATATAAATACTTTTTAGTTGTATCAATAATTGCTATAGTATAAAAGAATTTCCAATATATTTAAAAAATCCGCATTCGCTTCCGATCCGCAATCGCTTACGCCGACTAAGATTGAAAGGATGTAAGGAGGCCTACCTAAGCGAGCCGACGATTACTTCCCGAAGCTATAATTAAGAACCACCGGCTAATGTTTATTTTTTCGGAAGTCTTGACCCTTAGTTTTGGTGCGAAAAGTGGTTTCATGCATTAGCAGTTGCCTACTGTAGTACTGTACTAGACTGTTTCCGGGACTTGAAATGTTCTCGGGTCAAGGGCCCAAAGGAGAATGCGCAGTGCTGCTGCTGCTGCTGCTGCTGCTGCAGGTGACAGGTCCACCAAAAAGACGTTAGGACGTGCAAATTGCAAGGGTTAGAAGCCCACCCATCAGCCTGGCCCCTAATTCAGCAATATCCCGCGCTCGGGCGGTTAGTCGGACTTGGGCACTTGGGCTGTTTACTGAAAATCGTCTATCGCATATCGCACATCCTGCATGAGTCAATTTTCCTGCTGCATTATGGAAAGATAAGCCTCTTCATATCCGAGAATCTCGTCCATTGTTACGGGGACACGGAGCCTGATGCCTCATCTCGATTCTCTTCCTTGAACCCGACCCAAACCCCCCCCATCTTACATACTACATATCTTAAGATCAAGCTTACCATTGTCTTTACGAGATCTAGAGATAACATACGCTTCTGGACACCCGCTACTGAATGATCATGACGCGCCTGCATAGATGGCTCTGATAACCCTTTCAGGCTCTGAGTCAATCTCGGTACCTTGAACATGGCTGGCTGTATATTCAACTAAACTCAAGCTTCCATGATTGGAGCATTCGTAGTACCGTATAAAGAAGCGTCACTCGTATGTACCAGCCAGACTTTCGATTTTGTCTTGCTGCTCGTCGCATCTACACTCGTTCTGATTGACGGACAGGTATCGGGCCCCTTCGCACAAGCCTAAACAGCATTCTCCAAGTCTGATTCCTGACGTTGAGATGCATTTCAAAACCATGGCCTTGAGGCCTTTTGCGATAGCATGCTCTGTCCTGGGATTTCTCGCGTCTCAATCATCCGCCAAGACCGTGTCAAGCACTATTCTTGTTTTCGCTAGAAATGCGGCTGAATCCACCTCGGCGACATCAGGTCTCGTTGCATATGGCATTCCTTACGAGTTGATCATTGTACCTTCAGCTGGCATTGCGCTTCCTGCTCTGAACTCCAGTGCTACTACCGGAAACTATGGCGGCATCATCATTATGAGTGAGGTGTCTTACGACTATGGCTCTACAATCGGTTGGACCAGTGCAATTTCTACCGCGCAATACGCAACGCTCTACAGCTATCAGACATCGTTCGGTGTTCGTATGGCCATGCTAGATGTGTACCCGGGCTCAGAGTATGGTAAGTGGCCTCCCGATATACTCTTCTCGCAGACACTTCTTACAGTTAGCTGCAGGTGTCACCACTACAATCGATGGACAGGGTTGCTGTGATGCTGGTATTGAACAACTCGTCAGCTTCACCAACACGAGTGCCTTCCCTACCGCGAATCTCAAGATGTAAGGCCCAATACCACAAACTCTCTGGCGTTCGATCTAATAGATTTCTCGCTCCAGAGGGGCAACGATGACCACCATCAATCAATGGCACTATCCTGCAACTATCACAGACCCAGCAACCACTGTTGAGATCGCTCAATTCGCAGCTGGAGGAGATTTTAGCAATCCTTCAACTGCAGCAGTTATCAACTCTTTCGCTAGTGGCCGTCAGCAAATGGTTTGGTTCACAAGCTGGGGCACGGACTGGTCGGTCACTTCAAACTTCCTCCAGCATGCTCACATCCACTGGATGACCCGTGGTCTATGTAAGGGGATCCAACTACTATTTCGATACTTCTAATGACACTTTCTGATATTGCAATTAGTCCTCGGCCAGCGCCGTATCAACTTTCTTGCTCAAGTAGACGACGTTGGCTTGACAACTGAGATCTATCAATCAAGCACCGAGATCTTCAGAATTCGCACGTCTGACCTTGATGCACATGTCGCATGGCAGGCAGACCTCAACTCTCGTCTCCCGGCTGGCTCTTCCTTCTTCATGGAGCTTTGTTACAACGGTAACGGGAATATCGAGGCCGCCGTAGCTGTTGACACGAACAACGTTTGCATCCCGGAAAGCTCCATCAATCTGGTTGACTATCCCCCCAATACACCTACCGAGTTCCAGAAACCCCTTGGTACAGGCGTCGACTTGTGGCCAGAGACTCCTCTGACATACTCGTGGAGTCTCGCATGCACACAGCTTGATCCAATCGGAGCTTGGCTGCAGGTGACTGCGAACCGCGATCAGTTCTCTCATGTATCGCACACTTTCACTCATCAGTCTCTCAACAATGCTACAGACTCGGATGTAAGGTTGCAAATTGCCTTCAACCAGGCTTGGATGGCGCAGACAGGAATTGCGGCTGGCAAGTTCAGTCCGCATGGACTTGTCCCCCCGGCGATTACGGGACTTCACAATGGGGACGCTATCAAAGCATGGATGGATCTCGGAATCACAATGGTAGTGGGTGACAATACGAGAGCACCATTGCTCAATACTGTACGTTCGTTACTCTCTCCTCTATGCTCTATAGATTGTACAAAGAGTGGTGAGTGACGTTGTCAACATTCGGCTAATTGAATGAATGCACAGGAAAATGCCCATTGGCCTTTGATCTCTACAGTTGCTGCGAACGGGTACGCTGGCCTGACAATCATTCCTCGCTGGGGTAAATATACGTTTCGTATTGAGGCATCAACAGCTGCTAATTATCACAGCCACCCCGATTTATTACAACTGCTATTCTGCAGAATGCACACTTGCCGAGTGGATCAATACTTCTGGTGGCTCAGGAGATTTCGATGACCTCGTCGCCTTCGCCCAGTCAACCTATACGCATCACTTGCTCGGTTTGCGTCATGACCCGTTCGTACATGTCTTCCTACACTCCCTCTCTCCGACCGAGCACCTGTCTGAACTTACTTTCCCCCTTTGACCATCTCACTTGAAAGCTATCACACCCCACAACTGCCCAGCCATTCTAACTTTACACCAGTCTCATGTTCCACCAAGCGAACCTCCGACAAGGTGATACTGCCACTTACACAGTGGGAGGGCTCACCGGGGAACTGTCTCTCTACCAGATCCTAGTTGAGACCGTCCTTCAAGAAATGACGAGGCTGTAAGTAAAATAGCCCTCCTGCCCTTCCGAGTTTCTTCAAGCCCGCTACTACTGGGCTAACGAATATGTGAGCTGGATAGCACAACATGGCCCATCGTCACCAAGAAGCACGACGACATAGGAACCGCCTTCATCGACCGGATGACTCGCGAGTACGTATACGAACCCCCCAAAGCCTCGACATATATACACCCAATAAACACTCACACTCACACTCACACTCACACCCACACCCACACATACACAAGTAGACCTCATCATCGTTAACGCTCGCGCCCCACCCCCTAGCAAATGCCTCCCCAGCCTCTCCTACATCTACTCCGCCTCCAACACGCACATCACCGGCGTAACCCTCAGCGCCTCCACCACCAACTCCTGCAGCGTGCCCATCCCCGTCCAGTTCCCCGGCCCGGCGACCGCCGCGTCCCCATCCAGCGCCGTCTTCACCGACGAGCAGCTGGGCTCGGACCCCCTGACCCGGTGGACGACGTTGAGCGGGAGCCCAGTCACGTACACTCTCGCGTCGCCGATTCCCGTCTGATGTAAGCGAGAAAGCGAGAGATTGAAGTCGGGAGGGGATGGCTGGCTCTCTTGGCAATAGGTGGGCGGACACACATATATATGCACACGCAGCACTACCATCCTGTTTGCGTCTATTTTATTTCGCCAGCAGGAGGAGGACTCGGAAGGGGGAGGGGGGAGAGAGAATAGTTAGGTTAGAACTCAACTTAACTCAAAAGAAAAGGGAACGCATGCACTAGATATAATTAATAAATAGACGAAATCGATTCTTCTCGCGAAGTGAATCGGCAAAACATCTCCGGGCTCCTCCTTCCTCACTAACCACCTCTTCAAGTTCTGTCATCATCGAAAGAAATGATAACGTGTGTTGAAATCTCTTAGGACAAGCAGTCGAAAAGGCTCTTTTTCCAGCCTTTACACGTCTTGTAGCGGATGCGCTCCTGTTTGCTTGCTTGCTTGCTTGCGTGATAATCGTCGACTTGGGTCGCGATTAGAGATCTAAGTAAACCAAGGGAAATCAAGAGTTACTTAAGACCCACCCCTCTCCCCCCCCTTTCTTTTCTTTGATCCTGAACGAGTTCCTTTCGGAAACGTACGTACGTGGCTTTCACGATGGCGAATCAACAGATCGGGATTCCGCCCTTCCGCTAGAGATATGAGACCTCCCCCCCGAGATGAGCAGCAGCAGTCCGAAATCTCGCACGAGCAGGAACGAAAAGGGAATCCGAGTGATGGTCTTGATAGGTATCTAGCAGCCCGAAGTAGAACGACAAACCTCCAACCCAAACCAAGTTCCGATTCACGTCCAAGTCTCCCCCTCCCCCCCTTTTTTTTGTCTTTCTTCTTTGAATGGGCCCGAGCAATTGAAATTCTACTCACTTTCTCCTAACTTCTGCCAGCTCTTCTTATCTTTCTCCCCCCTTTCCGCATTCTTCAGCCTTCAGCATTGGAGATCGCGTTGGCTCGCTTGCTTCAGAGACGGCGTCTCGATATTCCCGATATCGTGAGTGATGGGAAGGGCCAGTGTCGCCGCCAGGTCTCCAATCTCTCTGCTTCGGGATCCTTGAGCCCTGCAAGCGGACGCGGTCATCATCGGGACGCGTGTCCGACGTTGGTCAGGAGTCGCCGTCGGGAGCCGCTCGGCGCAACGTATTTACAGGGCGTGATGATACTCCTCTGTTGGGGGGCTCTGGTACAGTCTCTTGGACTGGAATGAGGAGATGGAGGCCACCTAAAGCGAGCCGAAGATTGGTGGCATCTGGCGCGGTCCGAAGTAGCTCTAACAGCAGGAGCGGCTCGGCCAATTTGGTGGCGCCTTTTGAAAGACAGACAGGAGTTGCGCGCACGAGATTTTGATCATGCAGCTAAGTACATGAAAAAGAAAAAAGGGATGCATGCTCTGAGGAAAAATAATCCAAGCCCTGCTGTAATAAGTAATGACGGTTTTGGGTTTATGCTTCAAGCGACGAGCTTGCTTTGATTAAATCACTTGATATCAGACTCAGATATTTAAACAGATGATAAAAATACAAGCGTAACTTGGACCTTATAAGGCGATAATATCACTATGATCAACAAAGACACGTTTGACTCCTCTTCTCATTCTTTTGTACACAGGTATTAACGGCCTGTCCGCACGAAAACCACTATAATACAAGCCTTCATGTCCTCCAGAAGCACAATACTTGCCCTACAGCTGCTTTGGCCGACACATACGCTTCGTATCGTTACCCAAAGATGCACGCAAGCGACGAACATGGAAAAAGGGAGTAATCTCTATGATCATCATAGCTTTCGGCGGTGGACCAACCATGCATGAGAGCCCTTCCAGGGATATGACAGTAGACAGGTTGCCAATGTGACACAAGGAGGGCCGCCATATAAAGTACCAGAGTGGGTTGTAGTAAGACAGGGTGTTCGAAGAGAGGTTTTCGGGGTTAAGGACATCCGATATGTTCAGGTGGCCGGTTTGCAAGAGCTTCGTGGAATGCATTACATTCGATTAGGTAGGAGTGGAGGGGTGGGTATTTCGGGTTGCGAGGCAATTAGAATGGGATTTGCGCCGGGGGCGTAGCACCCATTTGTTGTTGCTCTTGCATCTCTTCGGGGGTGGATTCAAGCGAGACGGCAAGACCGATTTTGGCAGATTGCTGTAGAGGATTAGCTTGATTTGAGCTTCCAAAGAGCGTGTGATTAACCTTGAAGTATTCCATCTCAGCGGCGAATGTCAAGCTCACCGTAGGAGCGACTCTCTTCTCCAACAGGCAACCAAGCTTCCCAGTCGAGTCCACCTGAGCTCTGTAAGTAGACATCCTGAAGTCGTACTTAGCTCCAACGGTAGTAGCACCTTCCTTACGCGCACCTCCCATCATTCCAGCGCCAGACAGCCCAGCGAACTGCAAATTCAGGTCAACTCCGGCCTCTACCTTATCTGTCAACTTTCTCCAGTACGATGTGTTGATAGCGCCTCCGGCAGCGAATTGAGCGCTGGCAATCCAGTCGCTTCCCTTGTATTTAGCACAATATGACAGGGCGGTTTCGGGACCTTGGTTCAAAGCGGCGCGCTGCCAGATTGCCTCCAATCCGAGAGCCAGGCTGGGGGTTACTGATTGAAGGTAGCTACCAATGAAGATGCCAGTGAGACCACCATCAATGAAAGAAGGATTCAAAGTCTTCAGCGACGCAGTGAAATCAGCTCCGGTGTATTCGTTCTCAAATTGGGCCATTGCTTGGTTGCCAGGGGCGATTTGAATGTTGGACTTTGTTACGAAGGACCGCGACCAGCGGTAGTTGAATCTGGTAGACAATTGCCCCTCGTTGTCAACGTTGCCTTGCATAAAGATCTAAGAATCTGAAGTTAGCTTCATGCCTGCGGATGAAAGGGCTCTCTATATACAAAGCGCGACTTCTCCCACATACGTTGTTGGTACCAAACAGTGTCGCAAATGTATATGGCGGCAGCCCTTGTGACCCCATAGCGAATGAATGAGATATCTGGAATAGCGGCGTCATGCTGATAGCCTTGGTAAGATCTGCCCTTAAGCCACTAAAGGCGTAATTGTTCATGAGCACATCGCGCTGCACCTCCCGCGAGATGTGTTCAACCGTCCCAGGGTTAGACAGTCCTAAAGCCGCCCTCCGCTTTGAGAAAGAGAGGTATGAGTCTGCCAGAGCCATCGAGAGAGGATTGTTGTATATGAACCCCAAAGGAGAATCCTTCTCTACTTCTAGAACGGCAGACATGGTGAAGCAGGCGTTGTGGTGATAACGGCGAGAAGGAGGACTGGGTTGAAGAGGTTCAGATAGAGGATGAGAGGGTGGTCGTTGTGATTGTCGGTGATGGGGACGGGGAGATCAAGTTGGGCCGCTGGAGCTGTCAACTCGAGATGATGGGCGTCTTCAACTTTTTTCCTGTAATTGGTAGCCTCAGGCAGACAGGCAGACAGGCAACCAGGCAGGCAGGCAGGTACCCTCTGACGCCAAGGGACAATTTAGCTTGGAAGCTTTGAAGCCAAGGGATGATCCGATCCGTCCAGCTATAATTGGCCGACTAGACGAGCCTTGGTGATACGCTAGCGCTTCCTACCAAGGTCTACCGATATGTCTCTTCGGCTGTGAAGCAACTCGACCACTTGCTTTCCCTCAACATCAACACCAACTTCGACATCAACCCTGAATATCAACTCCATTCAAAATATAGCGGTTGTCCTGCTCACCTACTCAAGAGAAAAGAAAGCTCACAGCGCATTTAAAACAAGAGCCTACTTGCTCTGTCTCATCTCACGATTCTCCGCACGTGCTTTCTCGACAAGCACTTTTGTCAGCCTTTGGATTTCGAATTGCCAAATCCTGTTCGACTGGTTACCAAAGATAGATCTGGCTACTTGGGGCAATGGATACTCTTCTGTGAGTTCACTTTCCATTTTCATGATTGACGTTCAGCCCTTCTCCTCAACTCCCAACTCCCCAACTCCCAACCTCAAACTCCCAACCTCCACTTCTCCAACTCTACGTACTCTGGTCTCCTGGCCTCAGAAACTCTTACTCGCTCATCATCATTTGGCAAAAATCACACTCTCCACTCGTCATGGCGCCCGGCAGTATCAAGAAATACGCCAGCGACAGCGAAGCCGAGCAGCGGCAAGAGCAAAGAACGATCTACCGGCGCCACGAACGTCATACACAGATAGTTGGAGAAGAAGCTGATACCAAAAGCAGTACTGCAGAGATCGCCGCGAACTCTCCGAGATATCGCAGACGCTCGTCCACCTTCATTGACGGCGTTCACGATGTCAAGGATGACAAAGGAACGCTTCATATGGCCCCGGCCCAGCTCTACAGCACCATGTCCGGTAGACTCTTCCACTCTGGAAAGATCGCCATCGTACTCGTCGGCCTCCCAGCTCGTGGAAAGACGTAAGTATTCCTCACTGATCAGAAAGGGCCAATCTAAACTTTCGCAGCCACATCTCTGTCTCTCTATCGCGTTATCTGCAATGGTAAAGACTCTCTATTACTCCCCGATCCTGGCAGCCTGCTCATATGACTCTCTAGGTTGGGTGTAAAGACTCGTATTTTCCATCTTGGAGACTATCGTCGTGCGACCATCGGTGAAGGAGTTGGAATTCCAGAGGACTACTTCTTCACAGATGCATCCGCTTCTTCGGTCATACTTCGCCAGAAGATTATCAAGAAGTGCCGCGGAGATCTTTATGCCTGGCTCAATCATGAAAATGGCCAAGTTGCGATCTACGATGCTGTCAACCCTCTCTCTACGGGTCGTCAATCGCTTGCCAAGGAATTCGCGAAGCACGATGTTCAGGTCCGTCACGGAAAGCCGACTCGCAGTGCTTTACTTACTGATGTATCCATAGACCCTCTTCCTCGAATCCTACGTTACCGATCAGAACATCTTAGAGGAGAACGCCCGCAGTGTCAAGATCTCTTCTCCCGATGTAAGAATCGAAATACCCCATATACTAAAAGATCGTTAACAGAAGACAGTTCGTCGGCATGGACCCCAACGAGGCTGCCAAGCTATACCTGAGAAGAATCGACATGCGAATTCCTTCGTTTGAAACTATGACCGAAGTTGACCTCAACTTCGTGAAGATGATCAATGCTGGCCGGAGCATCGAGTACAATAATGTCAGTTTCGGATACCTTTCTCACCGCATCGTCTTCTATCTTATGAATCTTCACATCAAATCTCGTGTCACGTACTTCGCCCGTGCCGGAACATCAGGCAAGGAGGATCTGTACAAGACCGATGCGCCACTTGGCAAGGAAGGAAAGGAATATGCACAGAAGCTGGCCGACATGCTTCTTAGTCACAGAGAGCAGGAGAGAGAGACATTGATCGAAGCCGGCGGTTCGGACGCACCTCTGAGACCATTGACGGTCTGGACTTCCATTCGCAAGAGAACAGTCGAGACGGCAGAGTCCTTCAAGGAACGTGGCTTCAGAGTTCGTCAGAGATCGCAGATGAGCCAGCTCAATCCAGGTGACTGTGAAAAACTTTCAGATAGCGCCATCCGTCGACTCTACCCAGATGAGGTAGACAAGCATCTGGCTGACCCTTACCATCACCGCTATCCCCGAGCTGAGGTATTTACCGCCCCGGCCCAACCTCGCTCCTTTATTCCAGATTTCGATTTCGCTGACACAGTCGTAGTCCTATCACGATCTTGCAGTTCGCCTTGAGCCAATCATCCTCGAACTTGAACGTGAGCAGAACGATCTTCTCATCATCGCCCATGAGTCTGTTCTTCGCGTCCTGTACGGTTACCTGATGGCTTGCGAGGCTATGAGCATCCCAAACTTGAGGTTCCCCCGCAACGAGGTCGTCGAAGTAAGTCTTCCCTTACCATTTGTCACATTCAGTAGCCATTCTAACGCTACTCCAGATCATTCCTGCTTCGTACCACAATGAGGCTAAGCGACTCAAGATCCCGGGTCTCAGCCCCGAGATCAAACCCGGTTTGCCCGAGGACGTCAAGATCCCCGCCCACTCCAGCGGCCCTGTCAGTGCTACTTCCGGAATCGGTACTCCATCTTCCAACAAGGGCACACCCACGGCCGAGCAGTCCAATCCTCTGATAAAGGCCGAAAATCCGCTTTCGAAGGACTAAGCTCACCCTAACCGAATCTGACACAGAGCCGTCGCCTTCGAGATTCCAAACTCCTTGATTCTCCAACTAAGCGTCTCATGATTGCACTGCCCCCCGAGTCTGTTCCCTTGCTAGAGGACTGGCAGGGTCACGTGTGAAATTTTCGCCTCTTGTCCTCTTCTCATTACCGCGCACCAGCTGAGTGTATAATTGATTTGCTTCTTCTCTCGTCCTTCGACGTCGCCACGCTAGTTATGCCCACTAGCATGACTTTTGGAAATGTTGCTTCGGTCTCGCCACAGGCACTCCTCTGCGTCTCACTATTTTTCGAATTATGGTTTGCTTTTACGGATGGGTGGAATATGCGTGCACGGTTGAATGGGTGGATGACTGGCTGGATCGGATGAATTGTGAATACAGGGAGCGGAGTACACAAGATCGGCTGCGTTATAGGGGGTGGTTACGTCTCACGATATCACACGGCAGGCTTTCGCGCGCTTTTCCACTTCGGTTGTACTTTAGATACCACACGCATAGATGAAGTGGTTTGCAGCAGCCGCCTTGCTCAGATGATATGACTGAAATGTGTACATTGCTCTTTGTGCCATCTTGGCCTAAATGGCTGAGCATTTCTTAACTTAGGCAGGCACAGCAGACAAAATCTCAGCCCGGAACGAGTTCGCTATACCCTCGAATTTTTACATACCTATGCCTTACTTTGGAGCAGATGCCCGACTTTTTAGCATCCCAGGGCTCCATGGTCGAACAGACAAAGGGATTTGAAACTCCCCTTCAGGAATTCGCTGGTGAAGGCAGTTTCCCGCGGATATTGTATCGCGTTCCTGTTTGAGGCCGCTGGGCGGTGCTATTGAAGAAGAGAAGCTGAAGCTTTTGCCCGGCCGGACCAAGCATTCTGTGTGGCTGTAGTACCAACTGATGAAGAGGGAGCTGTTGAGCTGTCAGTCTAACCCTGATTGAAGATAGGTATCTGCCCATGGTCCAAGGCGATCCAAGGCGAAAGTCACAGCACTTGGGACGAGGGGAGGAGTGACTTTCCAGGCTTCATCAGTCCACGCGGCATCATTTTCTTCTCGGGGGCATAGCGATACCGTCCGAGGTAAAACCGTATTCCAATTCGAATTCTCGTCGAATTTTTACTTTAGCTACTTGGGATGGTCAAAGATCCCGACTTCACTGTGGTCGAGAGTCTAGCAATCTTGGGCAGCAGGCATTCGCAGCCATCACACAACTCACGAGTCAAATCATCCAAAGCTTCAGCCAAGCTGCTACATGGCTTCTGGCACTTCGAAGTGGCTAGTGACTGATCTGCTCGAGGAGATTAGCCTGCAAGTGATGACGCTGAATAGGATCCCTAGGCCAGATGATCCGGTGCACGTAGCACAGCTGGTCAGCATGGAGAAAAAAAAAATCATCGATGGAATTCAGCAACAGCTAACACGATCTTGCGGATGACATGGGTGGAGGTGGTCTGAGGAGAAGAAGAGTTTGGCAATTTGGAAGTACTCATTCGCGAGTATCAAGGTAGGTAGTGCCAGACGGCTTGCCAGTATTTCCAAGCCTGCGTTCTTCGGGCACGTGGGTGGTACCGAAGCCTGCGCTTGCAATTATTGATTTTGCCTCGGGCGAGATGAAGACTGACTAGAGAGTGGAAGGGGATGCCTCTGGTTGAGGAGTTACCGCAAGGGCGAGTAGCCTCGGTGCTAATTCCGTCTACGGAAGCAACTGGATCTACCTGGGAGCGTTCGGGCTGATCCACAGTGGCGGGCAACGCTGCCAGCTCTGGACATTGATGAGCGAGCTGTGGTTCTCAGGTTACGGATTTTGAACAGAGGCTTAACTCACGCTCAAAAGATTGGGCGGACATTGTACAGTTCGAGATGTATTTCAGTACTAATCAGTTCCTGAAATACGCAATCCGGATAGCTGGACTGCAAGACGATACTGCGAGACAGCATCGCTTTTGAGCATCTCTTGCATGCTTCAGTAGTAACTAAAAGCCCAATAAAGTAACAGGACTCTACATATCTACCTGTGCCACTTGCAAGGCTCGAAGTTACATTGTAGATACCAAATAGACGAGGCTGTGAGGAAGATGCAAAGCGAGTAAAGAACCAAACAACAATAAGCACTCGAATACCATGCAGCAAGTACCCAAACACACAGTAGCATCTACAGACGCACGAAAATAGGCGGCGCAGCTGGTAGATACAAGCCCCTTGAGCTACAAACATACGTATACAGAGATTCGGCTTGTTCGTTAAACTATCCGTAAACACCAAAGCTATCCCTCCTTTCGGATCATCATTTCCCCGCTTGATCATCCCAGGCCCATTCCCTTGAACCCCGAATTCCTCTGCTTCTCTCCCCCTCCTCTCCTCTGCGCTCCCTTCGAAGAAAAAAAAAAAGGAAACAAAAACAGCAACAACAACAACAAACACAACCAAATGCGCCACAGCTCCCCCGCCCCCAAATCCAAGCGCCCAAGATGTCCTTCGACTCCCCCCTCCCCCCGTACAATGCCTCCGACCCGACCGCCACCTTCTTCAACGTCTCCTGCCTGGACCTGCTCATGATCGAGCTCGTGCCAATGGCCTACCGCGTCGTGAACGAAGTCGACGCCGTGCAGCAGCAGCAGTCGCAGTCGTCCTCGAGCGCGAAAGATTTGTCGGCCGGCAGAGCGGGAAACGAAAATGGCAGTAGTGCGAAGAGCGCGGGGAACGTGACGGGAGGGGGTAGCGCTGTGGCTGTCGGGGGTGTGAATGGGAGTGTGAATAGTGCCGGAGGAGGAGGAGGAGGAGGAGAAGGAAGAGGGGAAGGAAGAGGCCGGAAGATGGACGAGGATGAGGAGAGGGACGCGGTGTTTTTCCGCCTCGAGATGTTGGGCTATAGAGTTGGTCAGGGGCTGGTAGAGCGGTATGCGTCCTTCCCTTCCCTCCCCTTCTCGCAACACGGGAAAATGCGTTCTCTACAGCTCCTCCCAACTCTGCTGCCTGGCTCTGGGCTGGGAGGAGAGCAGTGAGATGCTAGGGCCCGGAAGGAAGGATTGAGTACGATGTCGTGCTGTGCTGTGCCGTGCTGATTCCTACGGACGTACAGGTTCTCCCGCGACAGGCCGCGCTTCACCGATACCCTCGACGTGATAAAGTTCCTCTGCAAGGACCTCTGGACGCTCGTCTTCAGGAAACAGATCGATAACCTCAAGACAAACCACCGGGTTCGCTCGCTTTTTCCCTTTGCCTCTTTTTTTCCCCCCCTTTTCCCTAGATCCGGAGGGGTCACATCCCCTAAATCCTCTCACATAGGCCCCCTCCTCCACGTTATACATCTTATCCTCTCTCTCTCTCTCTCTCTCTCTCTCTCTCTCTCTC